AAGCAGTGGTATCAACGCAGAGTACTAGATTACATTTCGTCATCGGTGATATCGGCTTATCGATTTCTTGCAAACTTTGAGTTACAGGTGTAAGAGTTGGCACAAGGGGTAAGCAGCAGTATGCGGCATAAATTATAATTTACATCTGTATATAAACATAATATCTGCAATCAGAGTCATCTGTAACCATTCGCGGCGATATTTGGCCAAAATATGCGATCTTAAAATTTCGAACGATTTTCATGAGGACGTGAGTTCGTCAGCTCACAGTTCGGCGATCAATACAGGTAAGGGCCTAGTTTACGCATGCTCTAAGAGCAATGCCTCTAGTGATTTCAAATTACAAAAAGGAGCAGGAAAGTTATTGAATAGACAAGCGCAAAGGCTAGACAAACTTAGGAACTCGCATAGTATCGCAACATTCCTCTCAGCATAACTCTGCCAAATGAACTTATGCTGCACAGAGGGCACTATTTCTGTAATCAGCGAGTCCGAAAACCTCTATGGGCGAAGTTTCCGATCAATCCAAGATCATCAATATTTTAGCCAAAACCCGTCGGCGAGCTTCACAGCCTAGAACGAGAAAAAATGAAAGGTTCCGAATTCCTTGGAAAACTTGCGTATAGAGGTTATCTAACCTGCTGATCACGAAAAACACACCTGCTTTGCAAATTGGCGTCTTACTGTATGGTTACGGTAACGAAAATTTGAGAGAGATCGATTTTTTCAAAATTAAACGGCCTATCTTTTTCTATGGAAAGGTAATCCTTCGCTACTCACGAGTGCATGATAATCTATGGGGACAGCACTACTGAACCATGTTTACATGAATCGTCCATGTATGTTCTTCGCTGAGTTACACCACTACGAATACCCGTCCTCACACAAAAATCGAGCAGATTGAAAACAGAATAGTACGAGAGTGCAGCATATCAGAAGATTCATCTTGACGAGCTGAGCATCATGCTTCCTTCGGATTTGTATTTTATGCAATTTGAAGGAAGTTATAAAGAAAAAACGAAAAAAACGCGGATCGTCAGTTTTTGCGTTTTCTGTCGAATAATTAGTGTGGGTACTGTAGCTCCCCCTGCCTTTTGAAAAAATTCTTCCGTCACTGTTGCAATGTTATGGTAGGTATACGGTAGTAGCTAGAGTATTGAGTATAGAACGAAAATAGTGGCTCGGTCTTGAATCCTGGGATCTTAGCATGAATTTTTAGTAATTCACTTTTTATTACCCTTTCTATCCCAAGGATATAGCATTCCGGTCGATATATCGATTTTCGGGTAGCGCGCTTGTAGTACGCTCACGTTCTTCCTTTATTCCTAGTAAGCAACAAGTACGCCATAGTTTCGTAAAAATATTTATGCACTTTATTTACGGGGAGGAAGTTACTCCAAATCCGAAATCTGTTTCTTACAGGAAGCGAGCTGCTCCAAACCCAAAATCTGTTTCTCTTGAATTTTTACGCTAACGTGCCACAATATATGGAGGGTGGCGAGGAGGGAAGGGGGAAGGTATAAAATGCCCTGATAGCTTTCTGATTGTTAAAAAAATCAGAGTTTTTATCCCAATCACGTCCACATTTTTCACCTCGACGACTCTTCCCTTGGTAGATCTCAATTCCACAAATTAGGTGTCAAGTAGTTTTAGGTAGGCTTTCAGAGTTCTAACCTGCGTACTCTTCCAACTTTGATTTTCTTGCAGTCGTTCATCTTCGGTACCCAAGAGAAGCGCTTTTCCGAGCAAATAAACTCCATTGTTGGAGACAAGTTGACGTTGGTTCGAATCACATTGGCAGAGCTGAGCCAATAGGGCACACAGTCCTCAAAGAACACAATTGTCCATCTTGAAATTCTGTGATAAGCATTTCAAGAAATTAAATCAGTCATTATAAAGATCTCGAATCTATGAAAGGTTTATACCCTTCAAGTTATTTGAATAGCCTTTAAACTTCAGGAGCGTTGTATCGAAAAATTTGATAGAAGTTAACCTACCAGTAAGCATTGCTACCCAGTCATTCAATGCTTTTGCAGGTGGTTTTAGTGTTGCAAATTCGGCTAGCACGAGTGAGATTCCACCAAGCTGGACGATCTGAATAATGGGAATACTTTTTACATTTTCGAATAATAGCTTTTTGAATGTCCGGATTCTAATTTTTTGAGACTTGCAAGTTTTGGTATTCCCTTCCACTTTATATTTTGGTTCTCTGGGTATGTAGTATGGACGCTGATTCATGACTTGACTAGACACTACATCAGATGCTCGCCCACCTCGACTGATGTTTCCGCGTCCTCGGCGAGCTGAGCTAATGACCACGCGACATGCCACTGTAGACGTGAATTTTTTATGGACAACAGCCTTAAAACCAAATCGGCATGATTAGCGTAGAATTGAGTCTAACTACTCACCCTACAAGAATAGGCACTCCATCATAAATCCGAATTTGTTCTCGAGCTTGTTCCTCACAAGACAGAATTCGGAGCAGGCTTACGCATAGTCTGAAATTTTAGCGAGGCCACTTTGAAGGTGGAGAATATTTTCTATCCATAGATTCAAGACTGTATTATTGATGTCGTTTGAATAATTAATTTCTTTATAAACCCACTTTTGTGTTAGCAAATCTCCCTGTGGAATTAGTTGTAGACATATGTCGATAGCAGTTGTAGCACAGAGTTCGACCCGACAAACAGCCGACCAATCTGCCAGTCTTCCAAGGATCTGTGTATAAGAAAGGCTCTTTAACAATCTATTCTCTTGTTTACAGATGATGCTTGACGCAGAGAACGCACAAGCACATCGCGGAAGGCTTTAGCTGTCTGCGTCTCTTCCCATTGCGTTATCTCTCGCAATGAGCGTCAGCTCACGCGCCGTCGCCCGCCCACCTTGTAAGGCGCCTGCGTTGGGTGACTCACCCTTCTTTTTCTTGTAAATCGAAAGAACTGTTACCTCAAGCGCTGCTTGCTGGATGGACATATCTCGACAACTCAGAAAGCGCAACATGCATTTGGCCAAATGTACCCGAACAAACATCGATGCTGTTTCCGCATCATGAATTAGCTTTTGTGTGACATCTGGAAGTTTAATGGATGTTTCGCAAATTAAGAAGATTCACCTACTGAGAAGTAATCCAGCAGCCTGAGCATACTCTGTTTCACAGTTGAGGAAATTTCTAGAGAGGTAACCAGCAAACTGTAACGACACTTCGATAAGGATCTTGGGATCGTCACACTATTTAGGTTGTACCTGTACATAATTATGATGTTCTTTGACCGAGTGAAAAACATTAATGCATCCACGGTCGCGGAACAGAGTCCGAGCTAATCGCAGCACTTGCGAAACTGATTTACGATTTGGGCAAGATCCCGTCCATTTCCTAAAACATAGGGCAAGGTTGTTTCGAAGGAATATGGGGTTTTTAAATCATTGTACATGTGTGCAATACCCGCAAAACTGAATGGATGGTCACTTGAATTCTTGTAAAATTAACAGGATTTGCAGGCGTTTTGTGGGGTGGAGAAAGTTATCATCAGAGTTTTATGCACGCTTTGAAGATGCACAGTCACCAACAGCCTTACTGAAATTTCCGTCATACACTTAGTACTATCTTCCGGAACCAAGGAAGAGAAAGTCAGTGAAAGGGATTAAAATTCTCATTTTGAGACTGTAAAAGAGCGGATATTCCGTTAGCAATTTGTGGCCCTATTGCAATACTAACAATAAGAATACAGCACAAGTGAGAGGGATTCGCGATATAGAATTTTATGATATAGCTAACAATAGTAATGAAGTATTTGACTGAGTACGCAAATGAAGGCTAAATCATCATCAATCATCAGTAAAATCCCCGGTTGCTGAGATTTTTTTTATTCTACTCTCTTAAGTAACAAAACATTTCAGAAACTCGAACGATAAAATTTTACAGGGATTAGTCAACAGCAGAAATGACATATATAGTTTTTCCGGTGTTTTGGGACTATCGTATATCTACGGCGGAGAAAACCCTCAAAACTTGCAAAACTTTGCATAAAGCGATTTCTGGCTTGTTGATCGCAAATATCATATCCGCTCATTTTATGGTAGATGTACAGAAGAATCCTCCTACTTTGTTACTGTAACGAGTGGACGACATTTGTGATCAACTTGCATCATCCCAATCCCCCCCCCCCCTCTTCCCTTGCTCCACCATCTACAAGTCTCACCAAATGTGAGATCTGATCACGCACTATAGTCTATTCTATCTCGCTAAAGAAACCTATTATTCAAAGCGAGTCTCCTTTTGGCAGGGCCTGGCACCAGCTGGCACGGGACAAGTTGGATATCGTTTTTGGGGCAAAAAGCAAAGGGGGTTTAGTTTTTGTGGGCGAAGATATACGCAAAATTGGCGACGGCGACCTTTTTTTTAGTCGGCGTTCGTTTTTGGGGGGTTTTTTTTTAGGATTTTAGAGGGGTTATAGTTGAGAATCAAACGGGACTTCGTAAAAATTCCCAAAAGTCAAGGAAAACTTCGTTTTGAAAATTTTCTGGTGCCAGCTTGTGCCGAGCCCTGCCTCTTGGTGATTGTCATCTGAGTAATCCTTCAATGAATATTGCGAAGAAACTCGTGGTTCCAAAATTTTGGTTTGGAGTGGAACGGCAATTTTTTGAGAGTTTGAGACCATCCACCTGCTTGGTTTCTTTCTTTTTTTCTCTCTTCTGTCTTCCTACATGTTCATCATTCTCTTTTATGATTCAGTTAAACACGCAGCATCGGTAATCGAAAGGGAGTTTTCAACTTCTTCATTCATAACATACTGATAGAACTCACAAGCTACATAATCTCCTTTTCGTGAGTGCTTCGGTAAGCTTTGCAGCTACTCCGCTCGAAAATAGTTGTGCACATGTCGATTCTGTGAGGGTTTCCCTGAATTCAATGTCTTTCATTCCTTGCTCATCATGAATTCATTTTTCTAAAGAAAAGCAATATAGACGAATCTAAATTACATTTGACGGTTTGTCCATTCCCGATCAAATATCAAGACTACTGTAACCACTGGTAGGATATGGTACTTATAGAATCCACTTACAAAAGCGCTGTGATTGCTTCGAGCTCATGCCGCACATCCGATGGCGTTTGTTGTTCTTGAGAAAGGCAATAGAGTACTTGGGCAATTGGAGTTCCCATTTGGGAAATTGGTTATAGGGAGTTTTCGGAGTGAATATGTATATGGTTTACAAACATTTATTTAGAGAAGTTCTTTCCAACGGTATCACCTCTATCCACGACCATTTGAATATTTGGGAGTAATCACCTGGAAATATGATGTTTTGAAGGAGAAAGGCAGTTACGAAGCGATAATTATGATATGATTGTACGTTTATAAATTACTAATGATGATGTGGTAAAGCTCGCACGTTGCAAGTAAACCGCGGACATCTGACAAAAATCGTACGTCTTCAGGACCTGCACTTTGTGTGAGTTGTCCTTGTGGGCGGAGCCTGATGTGGGTGCAACGGCCACTACCATAATTTGGTTGTGTTTTGATTCGAAATGGTAGGATTAGGGAGAAGACAAAGCCTTAGTGAATAAGCCTGATTACGAGGTTTGAGATGTATCGCCAAACTTTTTCAATGGATTAAACAGCAAAAAGACAAAAATTATCTAGAACTGAAAATTTTCTTAATGCGACTCCTTTTCATAGAATCTCAAGCAAGACGTTGCAAATCAAGCAAAAAAGGAGATGACCATCTACCTAAAAAGTTCAAATAACCTCCTAACAGGTGAGTAGAAAAGAACCCCAAGTGCAAATAAATTGTAGCCGAAAGAAAACAAAAACAGGAACTTCTTTGCTTGAAAGCAGTAGTTTTCTATTGTCGAAGTTGATCGATGTTGTGAGGCCGTGTATCACCCCGGCAACGCCCGAGGGTTGTTTCCGTCGTGCTTTTGCTATCCAAGTGAACTTTCGCTACTGGCAAATTATACGCCCTCGCTAGGTTTTTGATAGCATTTCCGTCCAGAGGAAGTCATTTTCTGCAAGTGTTTTGATTTCCTGGAATTATGGCAACAATGACCAGATGCTTAAAAGTTTAATGGTTTGTCAAACTTAGAGGTTTAACTTTGAAATGAAGAAGCAACTGAGCCAAAACTACTTGCAGATCTTCACAATGAGTGCTTGTTTTCATTTTTACTTACATCTATATATATATAAAACTCAAACACTGTACCTTGTTTGTAAGGATGTTTGTGGCTTATAGACTCCTTTGTATGTGAATCCAATAGATTGAATTTTGTTCCCCTATAAATGAGACGCGGCGCAAAAGATAGGCTACTTTTCGCGACTTTTCGCTGAGTCCTTCTATCGATTTATTGATTTGTTTACTTATATCTAAGAAATTGGAAGCATATCAATCATTTCTCCAAGTTGAGTAATAAGGGGCGTAGAGATGATTTGCATCTTGCGGTGAGGAGGATGCGGGGTCATGAGAGGCGGTAAAGAAGAAAGGCAATTTTACCACGGATACAGGAGCGCTGCGAATCGAACCTGGAGCCGAAGCAGAAAAAAAGGAGAAGATATATATTGAAGGAAAACTAATGGTAAGTCATAAGTCGATTTGGAGCAGACATGAAGCCGGGCCATTTTGGATCCTCGGCCCGGGCGGGGACCGGGGAAGGCAGCTAATTATAAATAATGTCAAACGTTTCAAAGATGGGATAAGTTTCTTTAACATTCTCGCATTTTAAAATAAAATTTGGATGCTATTAGTTGCAGATTCCTTAACTGGATCTGCCTGATGTTTCAGTAGTTCTATTCTCTTGCAGTTGTGCACATACCACCTTTTTTCGAGCGGAAGAATGACTCCGTAAATCTGGGAAAGACGTCTGCCTTGCGGCACAAGAAGGAATTCGCGTGAAGGCTGGAGAGCTTCTATCGGTCGAAAGACTGCGACTCAACGACTCGTGCGAAGAACATTCATTGTATCATCTATTCTACAACTAAGAGACGCGTGACCGCATTGCGGACATTGTCTTAACATGTTTGAGTTTGTTCTTCCCTGTTTCCAAAGAGTGAATAAACTTGGGCAAAATAAATAACAGGTATAAACCTGCTAAGTACACGATTAAACTTGTTTAGACAATGTGTGCAAAGCGATCTCGCGTCTCCTAGTCCTAGAATGAATAATATGTAGAATATCACCAAGAAATCGCTCCAAAACATAAGCATTGAAGGAAAATCCAGATGCTCTAACTTATCTTGAGCGACCTATGAACGCCAGTTGTAGGACAGTTTCGCCGAAGGCTTCAATAGTACGAGCAATCAAAGATCTAAGCAGTCGAAAAGTAACCTAGGGATGCTACATTCTTTGGCAGTACTAACGAAGAGAGTTATCTACGTCTAATCAAGAAAATGTTATCTGAGAAGTTTTTCTAGCAACCCTTCCTTCTCATCAGTACCCGTGTCCAGCATTGTTCCTTTAATAAAATACCAGCGTGCAACGAACCATGAACCGCATCTCTAGGATTAGATCACCTTTCTGTCGAGCTTCTGACTGAAGAACACCGTTTGCACAAGACCCTTGCGTCGCATTTGACCTCTTAATCCAGAAAAGCATGAGAGCAGAAACCTTTTAATTACAGCTCAACATGCCTGCTGGTTGTTACTGTGAAGGACGTGGAAACAGAGCAATAGGTACTGAGTAGAGATATCGTTAGGTTGAATTGATGTTGTCTAACATCCGTTTCCTGGTAATTGTTAGATGATAGTATGCCCGTGCCAGGTTTGTATGGTGAAGTTCTTTATTAGTACTACGTTTCAACAAAATCGTCTTCGCCGGAGGCTTGAAAGTAGATTGCAGTGTTATATCTGCGAGATCAAACCGCCAAACCCTCCTTGCACTGCGAAGTCTAGACTTCGTACTAAACGTACTAAGATATGTTTATAAGAAAACGGACCTTTATTCGCTTTGGTGAGAGTTAATCAGTACTCAGCCACCCAAAGAGACACACTGCTCTTAGGGCTGCATGCACTAACATCCCCGCGGGGAGGGGATCGCAGCTTAAAAGAAAGCTTTATATTTCGAAACTCCAGATACCTGGATTTCACGTTGTGTACCTATCCGTAAGTATTCCTACTACCCTTCACTATGAACATGTTAAAGAGGAGCGAGAAACTATACGAACCGCATTTTCCAGCTTTTGTATGATCCCCGATGATCCCCGGCGCTTTTCTTTGAAGTCGTTTTTCTTTCTCCGAAGTTAACGAAAAACCTCCAAAGTTGTGCAGATTATCTAACCAGACAGTGCTAAGCATGTTCCCGATAAGAACAAATGATGTTTCGAAGTCATGAAATTTTCGATGATCCACAGTTCGAAATTTGAGGTTTACCGAAAAATTCGACTTTTCAAAAACTCATTTGTTCTCATCAGCAACATGTTTAGCACTGTTGTTTAGATGTTCAGTACAGCTTTGGAAAGTTTTCGTTAACTTCGGAGAAAGAAAAATGACTTTAAAGAAAAGCACCGAGGATCATCAGGGGTCATATAAAAGCTGGAAAATGCGGTTCGTACAGCTTCTCGCTCCTCTTCAACATGTTCATAGTGAAGGATAGTAGGAATACTTACGGATAGGACACAACGTGAAATCCAGGTATCTGGAGTTTCGAAATATAAAGCTTTCTTTCAAGCTGCGATCCCCTCCCCAGTGGGGAGGTTAGTGCATGCGGCCTTTACAGCCGCATGCATTAACATCCCCTCTGGGAAGGGGATCGCAGCTTAAAAGAAAAGCTTTTTATTCTGGAGCTCCAGATATCTGGACTTCACGTTGTCTACCTTTCCGTAAGTATTCCTACTATCCTTCACCACGAACATATTGAACAGGGGCAAGAAGCTGTACAAGCGCATTTTTCAGCTTTTTGTATGATCCCTTGATGATCCCCGGGGACGATCGTTCATTCTTTAACACGTTTCGGACCGCGAGATCGCGTGCGGCAAAAAAGAGGGTACTTTCAGCCGTTAGTCAACAAAGGGACCTTAGTTCGCAGGCTGAGTGTTACATCTGTAATCACCATGTCAGATAAGATCCATACCCAAAGTTCTGAGTGAATTGGAAGAGTTTGAATTCTGTCGCCTGAGAAGGACTTCTGTGCTTTCCTGAAAGATAGGAACAAGGACTCAGTTTTTAATTGTATCCAAAACTATCTATGTTGTACACGATACACATCATTATTAGAACTAAGGTTTTTCTCTTTGAATTCGAAGTAAAGAAAAGTTGCGACGTCGCAAGCGTCGTTCGCGTTGCCGCACTTCGTTGCAACTGTTGTTCGATTTGTGCTTCTATCTTCTAAACAAATATAGGCGGCACAGCCTTACAGAGTCTTTTGAAAAGGAGGAGCTTAGGTCTTTGACTTGATAACCTTGGATAAAAAGAAAACCTCCTGCAAGGCGCGTGCTGCACCATGTGCAGCACCAGTCCGAAACGTGTTGAAGTCAATTCTCTCTGTTCAAAGTTAATGAAAACATTCCAAATTTGCACTAATTATCTAACCCAACGGTGCTAAGCATAGTGCTGATGAGTTTCTGAAATATCGAAATTTCCGATAAATTCCAACTTTCGATCTGTGGTTCATCGAAAATGACTCCAAACATCATTTTTTATCAGCAACTAGCTGATGTACCCGGCCTTGCCCGGAATAATATTGTTCACTATTTTTGCAGGTTTGTGTGACATGCAAGACCATAACCTAAAACTGAATTTATTTGCAGATCACAATCCTTCAAAAAAAATTGCAATTGCTGGTCCTCGCAATTGATGCAGTGCTTGTTTAAGGGTCCATATATTACTAATTTTAAACCGTAATCACCGGTGTAATTGCTTGTGCATTATGAAATGATCAGAATTTGACTCTCATTTTCCTGTCATAACATTGGTCGGTAACTACCTCTCTTTAATGGTCGGAAACCATTTCTCTTTTACATCAGGAAACATTGAAGAAAGAAAACACAATCACAGGGATGACCGCGTAGCAAAAATGAACACAGGATGATCGATTCATCATGCAGCGTCAAAATCCCCACTGACAGGCTGGTAAGAACGGCAACATTCATGCTTAGGTATGGACAAAACCAGCGAGCAGCGAAGGCAGCGCTGCTCCGGCTGATCAGCGCTGCGCTCGGCTGCTTCTTGAGTG